GTACTCCAGTTAGTAAATAAAGAAGAAATGATAGAATATCACCATTTTGCAACTTTAATCAATTAATGAAGCTAGGCACTGATTATGAAGTACTGCTAACATCACAAAAATAGAGACAACCAGACATCAGGGCCTTCTGATGGAAGACCATAATACAACCTATGAATATTCTTGCACCCCTCCCCACCACACACCAAAATCAAACAGGCAGTCAACAATATAGATCTAACTAGAAATTTACAAGAAATACAGAAAACAGAAAAAGCAGAAGGATGCAATCAGCAAAAACATCCTGAGAAATTTTATGGAATAACTTACATGCTTCAACAACAAACTAAGAGAAATAAAAAGAGAATGAACCTATGGGTTAAAATAAACGTAAAAGACATGTCAACTATACAGGCACAACATACACATACATGTGTATGCGCGCACACACACACACACACCAGGAAACAACTACAAATTTGTAAACTGACTGGATTATTGATCATCTTAACCAATCAGCTATATTTTGTTGCTGAACAGTAATATTATAGTTACATTTTTAAGGGTTTTTCTTTTATATATACAAATCCATACTGAAATACTTATAGATAAAATAATATAATCTCAGCCCTAGGCAGTTTTGCTCAGTGGTTGAAGTGTCGGCCCTCAGACTGGAGGGTCCTGGGTTTGATTCCAGCCAAGGGCACATACCTTGGCTGCAGGCTCAGTCCCCATCCCTGGTTGGGTTATGTGCAGGAGGCAACCAATCAATGTGTCTCTCTCACATTGACGTTTCTCTCTCTCCCTCTCTCCCCATTCCACTCTCTCTGAAAAAGCAATGGAAAAAATATCCTCGGGTGAGGATAAAAAATATATATATATAATCTCAGAAATTTTTTTCATTTTTATATATTGTTAATCCTCACCCAAGGATATTTTTTTCCACTGCTTTTCAGAGAGAGTGGAAGGAAGGGAGGGAGGGAGACATCCATGTCTTCAATTGGCTCCCTCCCACAGGCACCCTGACCAGGGTGGGGAGTGAACCCACAACACAGGTACGTACCCTTGACCGGAAATCAAACCATAGACCCTTCAGTGCATCAGCTGACACTCTAACCACTGAGAAACACCAACCTGGGCTAATCTCAAAGATTTGCTTCAAATATAGCATGAAGGATTAGATGGAGATGGAGATGTCGTGAGTTGGTAACTGCTGAAGCTGGCTGACAGGCACTTGAGGGTTCATCATGTTATTCTAGTCTACTTTCGCATGTTTTGGAAATTTTATGCAGGAAAAAAATATATATAAATAAGGCACTAAACTCGGCACAAGATTTACAGATGAAGAATCAAGTTCAGAGAGTTTAAATGAATCAATAAGATGACACAATTAGGAGACATTACTGGGACTATAATTTTTTTAAATGTTAGAACAGTGTTCTCTACACATTACAGTAAAAAATTACAATGCTGAACAGTGCTGACCTGCTTAAAATATTTACTGAATCTATTTATAATTGTTACCACTCCTGACAAGACTAAATTATTCTATAAAGAGCATCTAAAATGCCTTTGTTTGAATGTCATAATGTACTAAGCTTTTTACCTGTATTAACTCCTTTCATCCTCAGAGTAAATACCATGAGCTAGGCACAGTTATTATTATTCCTATTTTACAGATGAAGAAATCTGAGGCAAAATGAAATTAAGCCCCAAGGGAAGATTTAAACCTCTCTTCAGAGTTCTTAAATACTATATAATACTGCTTCAATTATGAGCTTACAATTTCTTAAAGTTTTAATTCAAACAGGAAACTAAAAAAGGTGCAAAATAGAAACCCAAAAAGGATAGATGACATACATATACACACACACACACATAAAACATAAACAATCATTATGTAGATCAGATACAAAAATACATAAGGTAATTAAGAAGGAAATAAAGAGGAATCATGAAACTTTTATTTCCTTTTGTTATTTATATCATAGGACTGATTCTTCTTTCCCCACATCCTGGCCATACTTATTTTGTTTTTAATTTTGGTACCATAAAACAAATATTTAGGAATACTCTAAATCCAGATAACTGGATTAGTCAATATTGAATAAATAGCACCCATTTGAAAAATTTTTAAATAGGTAAGAGTATTGTACTTCACTTCTAATCACATTCTTATTACATAAATATCCACAACATAAAGACAATGTTAAATAAAATTAAACTTTCCAGCCTCTCAGGCAGCTTCACAATTTTAGGTTCTGAAAAAAAGCTAATAAAAGGTCAAACTGTGTGTTTAGTAAACTACTTAATTGACACCTAAGCTACAAAACAGTGGTGCTGACAGTGGTGCTGAAATCAGTTGGGAGGCAATTATCTGCTAGAAGGAAAGCAAATAAATGGCGAAGGGAAATGAGGATTGCTTAAAAAAAAAAAAAAATTCAAACACACATATACCTTTCTGTAAAAGAGTTATTTATAAATTTAAGAGAATATTTTATCATATCAGCTCTTTTCTTAAATTTCTTTTCCATAGTTCAACTCTCTTCACAGAAGAATTCAACTAATGATGGCAATTAACTTTATCAGTGACCCTATATGGCACAAACTGACATATTTTCCTTTTCTCTGAGATTAATTTTCATTATATCTGGAGAAACAAAAGTAAAATTAGAGCCTGTTATAATATGAATTATTATATCACAAATTCAGGAATAACAGAAGAAAGCAAGTCCCCAAAGCCATTATTAAAAACTGAAAGTTACATAATTAAAACCCATCCACTGAAAAACTGGTTGCAATGGATGTGAAATCCTGTTAACTTATACAAATTAGTGCTTAAAATGAAACAAAAATTGGATTTCTGTATAAAATTCTAGCTTTGACTCAGTCAGAAATGCACAATAGCTTTGGACATAAACCTAAGTAACTTAAAATATATCACTGATTTACATCAAGAACACCTGTTTAATCCGACATGTGTAAAAATAAGCTCATAATATCTTAACCTTCTTAAAGTTCTGACTCAAACAAGAAACTAAAAAGATTCAGAACAGAAACCCAAAAAGAAAAAATATACATAATCAAATATATAATAAAAGATATGAATCATCAATAATGGGAAAATCTAATTTTATCCTATAGTTTCAACACTCTCCCTCACCAAAACTTTTCCAAAGCTCCAAACAAGTAGCTATACTGACTAATTTGAATTTTACTTTCTTTCTCTAATTACTTTCCAATGGAAACATGAATAAAAATGTGGCATAGTACAAAAAGCAACACTCAATAAATGGTAGTATTATTATAACTACCTGTTAATAGCACCTTTCATTTGCATAGTATTTCTTCACAATAACTTCTTAACCTATACAAAATTCTTAATAGTTTATAGAACTCACATTGATTTTCAATATTCCTGGATGTCTATAAAATTTGAATAAGAACACTGAATAAATTATAGTGGTTCATCTAACTGATTAATATCAGGGATGAAGGAAATAAAGAATGTTTTTAGGGCAACTGTGTTTACATTGCTTAAATTCAGTTCAAAAAATTAAGGTATATATCACAAACACTCCTGTAATCGATTATTTCAACTATACTTTTTTGAAATTATTGATATTTTTCATTTGGTTTACCTGAATTTGATATTTTCAATGTATCCTTAATTACCCCCCTTTCAACTTTCAGAGGTGTACTATTAATACACCTAACAGTGTGTTCCATTATTCTGGAATTTGACTAATTTTTTTTTATCCTACCTCTATCTATGGCTCAATATAAAAGGCTTTCTAGTCCATACACAAAGCATGATGAAACCCTGGATTCCTAGAATTCCCTGGATTCCTAGAACTCAAAAATAAGATTTAAAAAAATCTCTGTAATAGAAATAAACAATATACTTTAAATGGATGAGATTTATCTTCCACAGAATAACCATAAAAGATAATTAGTAAGATATGAGATGCTGTTAGGATCCCATTTCCTAAATAACCACCATGGAGACTAATGCATCTTCCAAGTCTTCATCAAGGAAATTAAAGGTAACATATAAAATAAATTGCAATCTATAACACAATGACCTATCTACATGGCACTGAGAAAAGCAGTTAAAATGAAGATTCATCATGCTTTGTTCCAAGGAAAAGGACATAACAACTGGTTGGTTTAGGTATCAAAGCCCCTTGAGAAGAATTCTCTATAGAGATAAGAGATAATAATTCTTAAGCTTCTACCATAACTTTGATGATTAATAACATTCATGACTTTCCAAGTTCCTTTTCTTTGATTCCATGATTACCACACAACCTCTACTTACTATTCCCAAGTTCTCAGATACAGGAAAGAGTGCGCTGGATTTTTAACCTTAAAATTCTAATCACTGGAAAGGGTAATCTTCTATTCCAACATAAAGTGGCATTCTAATATGTACATTCTAATGTGTAAATCATTCTTTTAGATTAGTTTGAACTGGGTTCCAGAAGTCTGAAAATACATGAGTAAAAATATACATTGGAAATATGAAAACCAGACATTCCTTCTCATTGACAACTGCTACAATCATCTCTGGGTTTTCTCTCCCTGCCCTTACCCTACTCCTGCAAGAAAAAAATGAGGGGGGAAAATGGTGTTTCTTTGGTCTACTGAAACATAGCCAACCCAAATTTAGGCAGATTCATTTAACTATCAAAATGAATAATTTTAAAGGAACAATCCAGAACTCAAAACCAAAGCAAGGATGCATGATTTACACAAGCATCGTTTACACATTCACATTTACTGTAGCCCTAAAAGAAAAAAAGAAACCTTAAGAAACTTTAAGACAATATCCGAAATTATTCTTAAACTTAGATTATCCATCAACATTATTTATAAAGTGGTTTGGCACATGTGACTCAATTATTCTAAGGCTTAAAAATGTACTTAAGAGACATCCCATGTGGCACAGACCAGAGTAGGTGCACTTGCATTTGAAGTGCATAAACTGGAGACTTCAAGCGAAAACTCACTTTTCTCACTGGGTCATTCAAAAGTAACTGTGTTACTCCTTCAAAAACAATAAATTCTCTTCCACACTTCAAAGAACTCAGCCTTACACCAGACACTCCATCTCTTCAACTGTGTCCGCTTAAATTTCATTTACAAGGAGAAAATGCTCATCAAATTCACAGTTCACCTAAAACAAAGAAACGTCTAGTATCAGCCTTATATCTACAGGGCAGAATTCTCTTAGGATCGTGATTCCGAGAACTTCTACCCCAAATGAAATTTTCTTTGCAATCTCCGTTTCCAGGAGACTGAAAGGCTGCAGAGACGCCTGAGGATCCTGGAGGGACGCTGAAGCGGCGGGGGGAGCGGGAGGGATGGAGGGGGTGAGTCCCACAGAGGAACTGCACAGGGAGACTGAGAACATACAAAGAGGCGGTTAGCTTAAAACAGACTTATCTCCAGACTAAGTATGTTTTCAAAGAGAACTTAAAGTAATCGCATTAAGGAAAACTAACATAAAACCTTGAACCCTCCACGGCCAGAGGGTAAACAAAGTACGAAAACGGGGTCGGGAAGAAGCGGGGAGAGTAAGGGCCTAAAAGACCAGCATCTGAAAAAAGTACGCAAGCTCTGAGCTTGGCCTTGATCCGGATCTTCAGTCCCAGTAAAGCGGACGGCAGGGGGAAAGGATCGCACTTCCTCAGGGTTGTAGAGAGCAACGCGTTTACAACGCTAACTAGTCCTGCACAAGAAGATGTCTCCTCTCTCCTCGCTTGCTCGCGTATATTTCTTTACCTCTCTCCAGCCCCAACGGCGCTCGGGCAAAACTCTGCCAATGCCTGCGCCGCAGGCGGACAGCAAAAGGAAAATACCTGAGTCCCAGGAATCGCAACGGCAACGACTGGAGGAGGAGCCGCGGACAACTAGAGCCCGGGCAGGATCCTCGCTTGCCTCTAGTCAAACCACAGTTCTTACGGGTGGGGCAGGGAACTTCCGCCCAGACCGTGGACACCGTCACTTCCGCTTAATGGCTCCTCCCTGCCCTCCCCTATCCAAGCTGCCCCCAGACACCATCCCGGTGCCCTGAGTTCTCTACGCTCGCGACGTTCTCACTTCCTTTTCCAGGACTCTTCAGCCTAGTCGTAACACCTGACGTGGACTACATGACCCAGCATTCACCACGGCAGGTTGACTTCCGGGTCAAGAGGTCCGCTCGGGATACATCACCATGGAAGCGGTCGGTTTGGTCACGTGGCGCCCTTGGTTACGCCCGGTGGTAGCTCTGGGGTCCCGGGCTTTGACGGGGGCCATTTTGCAGAAGGCTTCCGGAGTTGGGGGTAGCCTGGTAGTCGACTGAAGCTGTTTCCTTTCCTCCTCTGCAGCTTGGGGCTTGGAGAGGAGCAAGAAGGCTGGGCTCCATCAAGGCCTTCAGAAGACTATGGTTTCCTCCAGCCTCCGCCACCTAACGGCCCTCCACGGCGGCTGCGCCCTTCGCGCTGCTCCTGCTGCTTCCCAGTCCGGCCAAAAAGTTCCTATCGCCCCTAGAGCCGCAGTCAACCTTCCGCCCCAGAGACTGATGAAAGTCGACGTGGGGGCACCATGAGAGGCGAGAAAAACTGCTGCCGTGGAGCTGCAGGAGACCACGGTTCCTGCCCCCCGACACCTTCGCCTCTGGCCTCGACCCTCTTGATGCCCGCGGAGGCAATCTCAAGTAGTTGGTGTGGGTCTGGAGGTGGTTTGTCAGGGGGAGATGAAGAGGAGACTCGGCTCCTTCAACTCCTCCGGACCGCGCCAGATCCTTCTGAGGCCTTCCAGGCTTTGCAGGCTGTTTTGCCGCGGCGGGGCGGTCGACTTGGCTTCCCCAGACGGAAGGAAGCATTGTATCGAGCCCTGGGCCGAGTGCTTGTGGAAGGAGGTAGTGCTGAGAAGCGGCTCTGCCTGCAACTCCTCTCGGACGTTCTTCGCGGTCAGGGCGAGGCCGGCCAGCTGGAAGAGGCCTTTAGCTTAGCACTTCTGCCTCAACTAGTTGTCGCTTTACGAGAAGAGAATCCGGCCCTGCGGAAGGATGCGCTGCAGATCCTGCACGTATGCCTGAAACGTAGTTCTGGACAGGTGCTGAGAACGCTTATACAGCAAGGACTGGAAAGTACCGATGCTCGGCTTAGAGCTTCCACAGCACTGCTGTTCCCTGTCTTGCTTACCCCTGAAGATTTGTTGCTCGGCCTAGATCTTACCGAAGTGATAATATCCTTAGCCCGAAAGCTTGGCGATCAGGAGATAGAAGAAGAATCTGAAACAGCTTTCTCTGCACTTCAACAAATTGGGGAGCGACTTGGCCAAGAGAGGTTTCAATCCTATATCTCTCGCCTGCCGTCTGCCCTGAGGAGACACTACAACCGCCGTCTGGAGTCCCAGTTTGGCAGTCAGGTTCCTTATTATTTGGAACTTGAAGCCGCTGGATTTCCTGAAGATCCCCTTCCCTGTGCAGTGACCATTTCCAACAGCAATCTTAAATTTGGGATTATTCCTCAGGAGCTGCATTCAAGATTGTTAGATCAGGAAGACTATAAGAACCGGACTCAGGCTGTTGAGGAACTAAAACAGGTGATGGGACGATTTAACCCTAGTTCTACCCCACATTCTAGTCTTGTCAGTTTTATTAGCTTGCTGTATAATTTGTTAGACGATTCTAACTTCAGAGTGGTCCATGGCACACTTCAGGTTCTGCATTTACTAGTTTTTCGCCTTGGAGAGCAGGTACAACATTTCTTGGGACCAGTTATAGCAGCTTCTGTCAAAGTGCTGGCAGACAACAAGTTGGTGATCAAACAAGAATACATGAAAATCTTCCTCAAGCTAATGAAGGAAGTAGGTCCTCAACAGGTGCTTTGTTTACTCCTGGAACATCTCAAACATAAACATTCAAGAGTGAGAGAGGAGGTGGTGAACATTTGCATTTGCTCCCTCTTGACTTATCCCAGTGAGGATTTTGACTTACCCAAATTGTCTTTTGATCTTGCCCCAGCTCTTGTAGATAGCAAACGTAGGGTTCGCCAAGCAGCTCTGGAAGCCTTTGCTGTGTTGGCATCATCAATGGGCTCAGGTAAAACCAGCATCCTTTTCAAAGCTGTGGATACTGTTGAACTACAAGATAATGGAGATGGAGTGATGAATGCTGTACAGGCCAGATTGGCTAGGAAAACCCTCCCAAGGTTAACGGAACAGGGATTTGTGGAGTATGCGATACTTATGCCATCATCTGCCCAGGGTAGGTCAAGCCATTTCGCACATGGAGCAGATACAGACTGGCTTTTGACTGGTAATAGGACTCAGAGTGCATACTGTCACTGTGGTGACCACACAAGGGATAGCATGCAAATTTATGGATCTTACAGTCCAACTGTCTGTACCCGGAGGGTATTGAGTGCAGGAAAAGGAAAAAATAAATTACCATGGGAAAATGAGCAACCTGGAGTCATGGGAGAAAACCAGACCTCCAGTTCCAAGGATACAGAACAGGTATGCATCTCTAATTTCCTTGTGTTGAAACTAAAAGTATTTAAAAGGAAAATATGCCTGTAATGATTTAAGGGTGAGGCAGCTTTAGGGTTGTTATGCTTTATGTTTAAATCGCGAATGCTGATGTGGGTATCTATTATAATGGTATAGATCACATAGGAACTTTTAATAGGTTTTTTGCTGATGGATTTGGTTAAATTCTAGGCACAATGTGATATAGACAATACCTGGATTTCAGTTTTGACCTGTCAGTTTGGTATATCAATTAGCTCATACAACAAGCACTAATTACCTAGTAGGTACCAGTTAAAGAGCTAAGTTCTTTAGGAATGAAAATGAGACCAGTTTCATAAAGTCAGACCTGTAAACAGGCAGTTACAAATTTGTTAAGTGCTAAAATAGAAATAGTGGGAATACTGAAAACAGAAAAAATAATTCCACTAGAAAAGCCAAAAAGCCTTCAGAGATGTGACATCTGAACTGAAATTCCCCCTATACCTGTCCCAAAGTTTTTATTTTGAAATGTTCAAATCCACAGATAACTTAATAGTACAATGAATATTCATATACTTCGTCTATATATACCATTTGTTATCATCTTGCCATATGTACTCTATATTTGCCAAACCATTTGAAAGTAAGTGCAGATATCTTAACATTTCATTCTTAAATATTTCTGCATGTCTCCTAAGAATGACGTTCTCCTTTGTAACCATCATACCATTATCACACCTCAGAATATTAGTAGTAATGCAGTAATATCTATTATATAGCCTGTATTTAAATTTCTTTAGTTGCCTCCAAAGTGTGTTTTATAGTATTTGTTTTACTTTTATCAGCCAGGATCCAATCAAGATTCATGTGATTAATATATATCTCTTATCTAGAACAATATGCCCACTTGTTTGTTTATTCATGACATTGAGTTTTTTTAACAGTTTAGAGTGGTGTTTTGTAGAATTTCCCACATTCTTAATTTATCTGATTGTTTCCTTATGGTTACATTAAACAAACAGTTTTAGCAGAAATACTCCATAGGAGAGATGTTGTGAACTTAACATTACATACACCACAAGGCATGTAATACCAGGTTGTCCCACTTGGTGATGCTAAATTTTATTACTTGCTTAAGGTGGTGATAGCCAGATCACACCATTGTAGAGATTTGTTTTCCTCTTTATAATTAGCACATGATCTGTAGGATATTTTGAGACTCTATGAATACCTCAACAACCTTTTACCCACTGTTCTTAGCATTCCTTAATGATCCTTACCTGTATCACTTATTTCATTAAGGGCGACAAAAAAGGATAACTCTTTTTAAAAATTCTAATATTTCTCCTGTATTTGTTACCTGGCATTCTTTTTAAATCTATATATAAATAATTACATCAGTATTCATTTTGATGCTAAAATTGTCTCAAAGATTTAACCAATGGCTGGCTCCTTTGTCTTTGACATGACTTTTAGTCTGTGAACATTTCCTTAGTTTAAACATAACATGATGCCCAGGCTTACCTTGCACTTTTCTTGTTCCAGATGTAGAATCGACCTTTTTTTCCCCCCCAAGAACCCTAAAATTGCCTTTTCAGTGAAGAATGGAATTTAAAAACCAAAGTTTGGGTATAGATATGCTCATTGCTATGGCCTACCATTGCAGCTTGGTCCTTTCACCTGCCAGAACCAGGAAGTACCTTTTTTTTTAAAATGAATTCATGCTGAAACCTTCAAACTCAGCACTACAGGGTTCTTCCTCATCTAATTTTAGTCCATATTTGTATCTCCCACAATAAAATTCTGGTTCCTAACACCAGTCATATTTATTCATATGCTGTATCTAACAATACACAAGAAATAATTACTACACCAGTAACACAACTACCTCTTAAATGAAGTTCAAGACTTCTTTGCAGTTCTTTTTCTGCTTAGCATTATCCCACAGTTAGAGTTCTATGTTCAAACCTTTTTTTCTTTCTTTTTTTTATTGATTTCAGAGAGAGGAAGGGAGAGGGAGAGAGAGAGAGAAACATCAGTGATGAGAGAGTCATTGATCAGCTACCTCCTGCACACCTGTGACTGGGGATCAAGCCCTGAACCCGGGCATGTGCCCTGACTGGGAATTGAACCTCAACCTCCTAGATCCTATGTCGAAGCTCAACCACTGAGCCACACCTGGCCAGGCCAAACCTTTCTTAAACTGTTTTCTGGGTGATTATGATTCAAATAGTGTAATAGAAGATGAATAGGAGTTTGCCTAGTGTGCATGGGTCCTGGTGAATTTCAGAACAGAAGAATATATGTTCAGAGATCCTGAGTTGTGAAAGGACTTAGCATATTAAGAAATGGTGAGTTTCTACATAGCTGAGTAAGGCGTTTTGGTAGGAAGTAGCAGATGATGATAGAAATGTAGGCAGGGGCAGAGTATGGAAATCATTTTTATA